AAAACAGGAGTATATGTGTGTGTGGAAATGGCACACCGAGTGATAAACGCAAAAGAAACGAGAGAGAGAGAGAGAAAAAAGAAAATAGTTGAAATGCTCGTAAAATGCACCAAACCGAATCCATGAAGAGATTTCTGCAAACCTCGAGAAAATGGCTCGTTCGTCGAATGAGTATTATATGCGACAGCATCCATCCAATTTATTCATCATCAAAAGTTCAAAAAACTACCATTTTCTATTTGCAAATTTTTGCCATATTTGCCACTGAATTTCATTTCAACTGTATTTTTTTTTCTTCTTCTTTCGTTCTTCGTTTGTGTCATGTCAACTTATTCTCTCTTCTTTTGTCGTCTCTTGATTCTGCTTTCTCACTCACTCTCGCTTGCTCTCTCTCTGTCTATTTGTTAGTTGTCTGCAGAAATCATTATCCATTATTTGTATAGCAAACAAAAGCGAAACGTTGAGGTTTGGTTTGGTGTTGTGTTGTGCTGGGTTTCTTTTGCTGTTGTTGATTTTTTTTTCTCTCTGCTCTGGTGATGTACTCTCGGTCGGTCTCTTCATTTGTGTCCAACACACACTCACAAAATACCAGATGTATAAATAGTTTGGTCGGGATTGTAGCGAAAATATGAAGTGAACAAGAGGACGGAAGTAGAGAGGGCTTTGCATCTCCATACAATGCGATTATGTTATTTTGATGTTTTTGTTCGTCAAATTTTTGTATTATTTTGCACTGTGAATGGATTTAGAGCTACTATCGGACAATGCATAATGTGCTGTTTTTGGACGAATCACAATCTTGAGGTTTTAGTGATGGTGGTGGTGACGGCGGCGGTGACAGCGCGCTCCAGTGTCATTCGACTAATGCAAAAACAACAGTCATAATGAAAATCCTTGAAAAATCATCATAAATCTGATGCTAAAAGTATCCTCAGCAAAACATGATTATTATACATTCGAGTCCGAGAGAGACAAAAAAACAACAGTTTCCGTCGAAAGAATGGGAACGTATAATGTGATAGGGGAAAAAGTATGCAATCCTCTTTGGTATGTGATAATAAGGGTCATTACAAGCAAAAACACAAACTAAAAAAAAAATTCGCATCATATTTCGTGATGTCTTGCGAAAATGTGCCGAATGCAACAATTTGAATCTTTGCCATTTCTTGCCGTTGTTAGTTTTTTTCGTACACGAATGTCATTCGAGTTGTGTGTGTGTGCATGTGAATTCGGCAATGTTTTCGTCGAGATTACGTCACTTCAAGTACACGATCGAGTGAACAATCCCAAAGCGACATCACAACAGCGCAACAAAAACGATAGAAGAAGAAGAAGACGATGAGGGAAAAAAATCAACAGTAACAATGAAACGGAGATGAAATGGAGTAATGAAATAAAAATAAAAATAATAAGTAGACGAAAGGAATAGCGTGGCTGTAAGTGATTCCGTTGCATATCTGACTAAGCATTATCATTGTTGTGCATAACACATAATATTCGCAAGTACAAAAGGAATACAGAGCTATAGTGACACATTCATCGGCGCGCAATTGACTATGCACACGATACAATGGCAAAATATACGGCAATAATCATATTCGCAGAAAATACACACGAATAAAAACCCAACACCATCGAAATGATGCCCGAACAAATTTCCCAAGAATTCCCAATGCAATCGAATGATTTCTTTCGGAATTGCAACGAGAAAAGAAGAAACGATAAAAATAAGAATGCGTATCAAACTGTCGCTTTAAGTTTGTGTGAGTGTCTGCGTGTGTGTGTGTGTGTGTGTGTGTGTGTGTGTGATGACAAAAGAAAAAACACAAAATTGCACAATTATTATGATTTTCGCCTCGACATGCAATTTAAAGATTGTGTGTTGCTCCAATGTCCGTTACGATTATGAAAGATAAGAATTAAGTAATCCAAACGAATTCGCATTAGCTTCTTTGTCTATTATGGCAATTCCATCTGGAAAGCAAATGCAAATGTCATTCTGGGCTCTATTCCATCGGATTACGTATCATGGGATGCATCCGAAAATATTTGCGCTCCTTTGGCTTTAATCCGCATTGTTTTTCATTATAATAACTTGCCATTGTGAATTGCTCTCAGTCACTCGTCCGCCTCCCCGGCTCACCCTTTTCTCTTGGACATATTCGATGGAATGGCTTCGTTTGTTTGCACTTTTTGCATCGTTTGCCACGAGAAAGTTGTATCTATTTGATGCTCTTTCTTTTGAATTGTTCCGAATGCCCAGCAAAACGAATGCAAACGGATCCAATGCCCTTGGCTAGCATTCACCGAATATTCTATAGCATCCACTGTTTTTCTATCCATTTCAAATATGCATTACTTGTCGCACCAAAAAGAATTCGACACACAAACAAACAGCAGAAAGAAAGCAGAATTCCAACGCTTTTTCTCCTAAAGCTCGCACAAAATTCCCTTTTTAGTGCTGTTGTTCGAGAGTAGTTATGGATTGTGATGTGATTTTATTATCCACGGTATGAACACACGCATTTTGAATTTTCATTCTATTTACAGATGAAATCAGAGCGACATAAAATATTTCATATTGAATGTGCTGTAGTACAACAGCATACGACTGCATAAAATTCGATGCAAAGTGACATTTATCACATCACTTTTTTGTGCCCTTTGCCTTATGCATCGTCACACTATCGAACGATAAGATGCTGCAGACGGCATGTTTTTTTTTCTTCATCCTCTCTTAGCCATGCTTCTCAGCGCTCTCAAACTATAGACGACAATGAGAATAATGCCATTTTAATTCAATTCCCAGCAGTTAACAGTGCGATACGATTTTCCGAAAATGTTTTTGCATTTTTGGTAATTTTGGCAGCTATAAATCGCACGGATAGCCTGTGGCAAAAGCGCGAAAAACCTTCACAAATCTCATTAAATTTTCTTCGCTACATTTCTCTTCCTCGAACAATTTCTTTGCCGTTGTCGACGCCTGGCTCTCGTTTGCACACACACACACACACACTTCTAGCAGCATCTCTCGTCTGTATGTGTGTTTTGGTTCGAACCGCACGCCATTCGTGTTGGATTTTCACTGGTTGAACTTGAGTTCAGAAATCATATTAAATATTTATAGAGATAAGAGTTACAACAGTGGGGGAAAAAAAGCGATGCATTATTCGGTTGTTTTTGTCAGCGCCAGTCACCACCACTGCCAACCAGAGTAAAACAGTAGAGGCAAACAGCAGCCAAAGTTCGAAAGAGTCACATTCTTCGAAAGATAAACTCGGCTATAACAAGAGCGTCAAACATAACCGGTTGCACTTAAGCAATGGATAGGGAATTTTGCAAGTGAGTTACTGCATATATACAACACTCACCAAACGACCGAGCGAACAAACGAACGAAGCAGAGAGAGAGAGAGACACACACAGAGAGAAGAAAAAAAAATATTTATATGCGAATGTGAATCATTGTCCTGACTGTGTTCTTTCTGCGATTGTGGCTGTTTTTAGTCGTGCAGTTCCATTTCATAAGTGTTCATGTTTTATATATTTTCATTTCTTTGGGATTGTTTGTTTGCACCACTGCCATTGTCGTTTGTCGTCCATGTCTCATTTTCAAGAGAATTTCCCAAACGAAATACGAATGGGAACGGTGGTGGTGATGGCGAAGGGATAGTGTCATGTGCCTTCAACTGGAAAGAAAATGTACACTCAAAAACAAATAATATGTGTACAATTTATTCATGATACGGGTCAAGAGTGCTTCTTGTACAAACTGGCAGCACGAGAGAGAGAGAGAGAGAGAGAGAGAGAGGGAAGGAAAAAAGCACTGAATCGAATGGTTTTTTTTGTTGTTGTTGTTCTTGCTTTGCACTACCTTGTCGCACCCGTTGATTCGTTCACATGATTTTAAAGCACACATAATTCCCTGAATCAAAGAAACGATTCAGTGAACTTGACTTCAGTGCGCTCAAGATTGTCGCTATTGACAATAACTGATTACTTTAATGACTCTTCAGATGATTCGATATTCACATTGAGATTTGCCATTAGATTGCGACTCTCGCATTTTGTCTACTTTTTTTTCCATCGTCTTCTTCTTCTCCGGATCAACTTTTCTATCCGCACTTTGAAGTACACGATTAGCGAAAACAAATCATGTGCCCTTGTAATTGGGTGTTACATTTCTTTGTTATCTTGGAAATGGAAAGTGATTGAGTGTGTGGGATGAGTTTTTCCATATATGTTGTTGGTTTTCTAGGGAAAAAAAACTCAATGGATATAAAAAAAAACCGGAATTTTTGTTGTAGATTATTGCGAGAAATTTGATTTGCTGGAATTCTTTTCAATAACGATGTTTTGATTTCAATTCTGAAAACTTGCATTCTTCAGTGAAGAGTGACAAATTTACATCCTAAAGTCGGCCCAAAATGGATTGAAAGAAGAACCGGGATAATTGAATTGTCATTTTTTGGGGTTCGAAATAACCTCAAGGGAGATTTGGTCAGTCATCAAAATATGCTGTAGATTTGTCGGGCATATTTGAAACATCTTTGCTCATGCATAGATGGATGGACTGGGGACGTGTGACGGTAAAATGACTCATGAATATTGTCTACTATGTATGTGTGTGTTTTTGTTGGCATCTCGAAACAAAAGCACGGATAATCAAGTGTTAGATCAAGTGTCAATTACAATTTGAGCTAGCGCCTGCAAAAATGCACCACTTAATGCCACAATAGCATTTCAAATTTATCCGATTTGGAATTCCAGCCGTCAAATGGATCAACATTGACAACGAAAATTTTATTGCTCAAAATGGAATTTGCCAAGTTGACTAGAAATATCTCTTATTCATTTAACGCTTGTCGTCTCTATCTCTTCGTTCTCGTTTGCAGTACAGCAATAAAAGCCAGTGGCTGGTCGAAGAATTCGTTTTCTCGATTGCCACGCTTATTTTTGAATTTATATGTATGTATGTGTGTGTGTTCGATTTCGTTGCAGTCGCCATCAGCTTTCAACCCGAGTTCGCCGAGCCCATTGTAAATATTTCTGTAGCCGTTGGCAGAGATGCGACGTTCACTTGTCACGTACGTCATTTAGGTGGATATCGAGTAAGTATCATTCGCCTCTACCCTCGCAGTGCTATAACTGTGTGTACATAGAGTATATCTAGATACTTTGTAACAATTGAAAATGTACATTCTAATGTTAAATAATCGTATTTTGACAGAAATGGCTTAAGCAATGGCTTTTCCATTGCGACTTGTTATTTTTTTTTATATTTTGTAAATAAAAGGAATTTGTGTATTCGTCGTTTTGTTTCGTTTTGTCTTCTATTTTGTTGTTGCTCCATTTCAAAGTGTGTGATTATGTATGCTTTTGTTGTCGTTCATCGGAAAATGCAAAATATTAAAATGGAAGATTTCAAAATTGGTTCGATTGCCTATAAATAACCAGCATTTTGCTTTCTAGCTCGCATCTTTTCCGTTTCGTTCGTTAAATCGATTTTTCTTACATAATATTGAATTTGCATACATTCGATAACTAAATTGAGCGCTTACTTTACAAAGGTCGAACAAGATTTATTTATTCGACTTCGTTGCATCGCTATCGTCATCCATTCTTCCTTCTGTTTTCTTTCAAGGAAGCAGATTTTATTTTGCATTTAAGTGCCTTAGATGTTTGTCATCATTTTACTGCCATTTCGTTTTTCGTCCGTCCTCTCTCTCTCTCTCTCTCTCTCTCTCTCTCTCTCTCGGAATGTCGAGACGATAATTATTGAGCATTCGTTTGGCAAACGTGCATTTGACTTTTTGGAATAGTAGCATTTCTTTTGTCATCAACTATTCCGATTGCCCTTCGTTCGGATCGATTTGATGTTGAATGGCGCATTGCGATAGAAATATGAATGGCTTTGCTCGCTGGCTGGCTCTGTAATGCCACGTTTCCCATTTTATCCATCGAAGATTCAAAGCTTTGTGATCGAAGAGCCGCTCGTTTGACGTGACATCGTGCAGTTTCCAGTTGCAAAACGTTAAGAGATGTTGTCCACTCAACAAGTCTGAATCGTCAAAACAAATAGAAAATCGCCCGTTCATTCGTTTCGATACCATTCAGCATTGTTCATTCAACGTTTTTTTCTTCCTTTTAATAAGCGACATCTCAAATTCGTCTTTCGCTTCTTTTTTTCATTTCGTGCACGACCGAATCGACATCGCCAGCCAGTCAACCAGCCAATCAATTCATCTATTTCAATTTCAAGTTCTTATTTCATCGACAGAATAAAGACCGCTTGAAATGGCTTTTGTTATCAATTTCATTGGCAAATCACCATCGAGCGAAATTTGAGTGCCTTCACCTCACTGCCAAACGAATCGTCTCCATTTTAATTCATCAAGTGCACTTCGAATCGAAATTAAAATCGTTGACGATTTCAAGTTAATGTTATAAGATTTTTTACGAAGATCAAAAAAATAGTTTTGTGACACTCACATCAAATCAATGGTGGATGGAACATTTTCTGGTACGGCAACAAGGTAATAGCACTCGATTCATCACCATGTTTATTGTTTCGGCGTGTCTCGAGAGCACTCAAATTGAAAAAAATAAAATAACAGACGAAATGAAGAAAACTTGAAACAAAATGCACAGTTTCCAATAAGTTTTTGTTTCTTCAATTTGCAGCTCATTTTAATTGTATCAATTCCGAACATTTCAATAAGCCAATTAAGCAGTAATGATTCAATTGAAGCAATTGAAATACTTGGCAATGATGATTCATTAGTATTGCATTAATAATGTTCTCCGAAAAAGCTACGCATCTATGTGAGTTCCAAAATAAATCGAGAAAATTTCACTAGAATTCAAAATCGAACATTTTCAATCGGCATTCAAAAGACATCATATGATACGCTACGACGAAGGTTTGAGGTTTTTTCAATTTTCCGCAGTAATCCTGTTTTTATGAACATGACAACGTCATGCACTTACTTCACGTTTCAATGAAACTTCCAATCTGAAACGTGCATCAATTCTTGCTATTGACTTAAATGTCTTAATAAAGCCCATCGTATTTGCTCAGCGCAGCGATGCCAATATTCATTTTGTAGTAGGTAGTGATTTATTTCTAGAAACAGCCATAACGAATACAGTAACATCAGTGTATTCAACGCCTGGTATACACATAGTGGTTGCAACTCAAAAATACCGTTCAATCTGATGATTGCGCTCTTCAACCACACCAAATCTATCTGATATTCCCTGCCGTAATGTTCGCATCAAAGTTGCATCACTCGTTGGAAAACATAGATTAAAAATTGAAATACTTGCCATTTATAATGTTTCACATTTTCACAGGTGGGTTGGGTAAAGGCTGATACCAAGGCAATTCAAGCAATTCACGAGCATGTCATCACACACAATCCACGCGTCTCCGTGTCTCACTCCGATTTGAATACGTGGAATTTGCACATAAAATCAGTGACGGAAGATGATCGCGGCGGTTACATGTGCCAACTGAATACGGATCCCATGAAAAGTCAGGTATGCAAAATCAATCAACACACATATCACAATCAAATTTAATTACATTGAAATTGCCATGCAATTATGGAATTGGAATGGTGCGCGCGAGCGAGCTATTCCGATGACGATTTCGTTCCATTGTGGATTTAACATTTCAAAAATTAATTCATTCAGTCAAGGGGATTGATATCGTTTGACAGGAATAGGTTTTGGCAACGGAACATTTAAGTTCAATATTTAAAAAAAAAATAGATTGAAAAAGTTTACGATGATTTTATAATGATGTAATTTAAAATGAATGGTCATTGATCAATGGATATTTAATTTAACTTAATATCTTCTTGCAAATAAAAAAATCCCTTCGGTTACGGAAAACGAAAAAGTGAACAAGTGAAGTAGATCAATATTTTACTGAAAGACTTCATCACAACACCCCTTGGTATTGATGCATTTCAACACCACGTACTTGAGAAAGTCTCCGATGTGAAATCAGCGAGTAATTGTTATTTTTGGGATTGATTAGAATAAGCGTAAAATATTGATCGCATTAGCAATATGTCTGGTTAAATCAGCATTTATTTTCGACAATAGCAGTAAGCGCTTAACAATAGGCAATTTTCGTATTTAGCAGCTATCACTGTTACTTTTCATTTTGCTAACATAAACATGCTGACGACAGCTCGACTGCCGTGTGTGTGTGTGTCTGTGTGTAAAGATTATGCAATTTGTCAAATGAAAACACGCTATCAAACGTAGTTAATTTCAGAATTAATTTCACTGAAAACCGAAACATAGTGAAAACTTTGAAACTATTTGAAACACGACTGAAGCGCATGCAGCTGCTCAACTTGCGACAGTCAAATTGATGATAATGATAAAAGTTGAATAATAAATTATTCCGAGTTGTGCGACGACCGAGCCGACACACCGAATCTTCGCTAAAAACTTATTTTCCTCGCTTTAATTTGAAAACACGTTACAATTTCGTACATACACGAATACGGTGGTGATTTCGTTTGTGAGAGAAGGAAATCTCGAATGAAAACGGTTTCTATTGTCCATATATGTGTATAAAATTTAATGCGTTTGTTACTCTCGTCGATAACAGCTTTTGGACGAATTCTGCGGCTTACTGTGTACACTATCCCATCGACACATTTTATTGAATATCACGCCACGCACAATACAAGCTTTCAATCCAGAATGTACAGAACTATTAACGACGACAAAATGTGATAATTCTCCGACATCACACACAGTTTTATGGCATTCTGAAAATTGTTTTTTTTTAATGAAATGACATGTTTAAAGAAAACCACCAGCACAGCGCTCAATTTCTCAATTTATTTTTGGAACTTTGAAAGCGAACAAAACAATGTGGCCAGACATTAATTGGTTTTTGGAGCAATTCTTTACTCTATTCATTGGCACTATATTTAAATAAAGATACATCCGTGCTGCTATATGGTGAACCATCTGTGGCAATGTGCTATGACCAAATTGATCGTCAAATGGAAAGTGCACACGAACACAATTCAAGCGTACGCATTGTCGCATCGATATTTGTCTGTCAATAAAATGAGTAATGTTTCAGCATTTATTCATTTTTTTCCCGTTCGCTGCCATTGAGCATACACAATTTGGCTGCAAAAAAATGCAGCAATCGATTGTATTGTGAAAAAAAAAAAATTTTTAATTGACTTTTGCTTCATTTAACCGCCATCATACTTTTTTCTCTCTCGCTCGCTTGTTTCACTCAATCGTTGAACAAACATGCAACGGCGTTTTTTATTGTTTGAACCCATTTTTGGCTCGTTGCAATAATTCATTGGTCATTCAGCGTTGTTTGGGCATTGATAACGAATAATAAATAAATATTGGTATTGATAATGTGAAAGTTCAAAAATTGAATACTTTATTTACTTTATCAATGAACCAAACGAAGCGAGAATACCTGCCGGCAATTCGCATCAACAATAATAATTCGATAATTTTGCATATTTTCATCTGAAATGCATTTTTTTTCTTGCACTTTTAACTCACAATTCAAATGGGAATACCAGCCCCTTAGCCACAATTATTTCAATCATTTTTATATTTATTGGAGCGGCATGAATCAAAAGCATAACAAAAAATGTTGTAATTATTTTGAAAAAGGTTGCACATTCTTGATTGTTTTCTCACTCAAAATAACACGTTCTTCCTCCATAGAATTGTGGCTGTGAGAATGAAAATGGCAATACAGGAATAAACATTCTGAAACGCATCAAGAAATAAAAAATTCGCAAAAATGAATCATGAGTTCTGAATATGCAAAAGTGAAACATGAATTTACATGGGCAGCATGTTCACTTTTGCGTATTCAGAACTAATGATTCACTTTTGCGATTTTTTTTTCTTGATGCGGTTCAGAATGTTCATTCCTGTATTGCCATTTTCATTCGCACAGCCTCAATTATTCGAAATTCATTTGTAGA